CCCCTCCTCACTCTATCAATTTACCAATTTCCTACTTTCCTGTCACTTCAATTGTTCCCCCTCTTTCATTGTTAAAGGAAAAACTAACAATAAAAACTATTATTAAAAAAATGTGACATAGACACTGAAAACTAGGAAGCCCTGGCCCTTGAGTGCTCTAGCTAGAGGTCAGCTGTGACCAGCAGTGCTGTAGAATTTGAAAAGGCACGAATGGAGGGAGAAAAGGAGAAATGTGCCAAGAGGAAGGCGCATCAAGCCAATCCTGATTGGGACCAGCTTTCACCTGAAAATCGATGCCCTCACTGAGGAAAAACATGCAGGACAAGAATAGCGCTCCACGGTCACCCCACTGGCAAGGCAGCACACATGGAAGGCCATCATCCTCGGACAATGAGGGATCGCCTAAGTAAGTAATATCTGAAAACAGTTACTTTCGGGAGGAAAGATGGGTACAGATAAATGATACAATTTGCTTTTTAATGCAGAGGGACTAAAAACCACAGCAATAGGACGCTCCCCCATCCCCTCCCCATAGGATGAGGTCCAAAAGAATCTCAGATTGTTAAGGGATGGAATCAGGTGTCATTAAGAGAATGCAAGTCTACAAGGGAAAGCTTACTAAGACAGGAAACAAAATGAGAACTACAATGGCACTACTTTTCCATGCTGTTGGGATTCATAATTTTTAGTGTTGGGCTCTGGAGATCAGACTTTCAGTCCCCACACGGCGATGGAAACCCACAGGGCAAACTGGGGCAAGACACACTCTCTCAGCCTCAGAACTAAAGACAAACCTGCTCAGAACATTCAGAAAAGAACTTGATTGCACACTACAGCAACTAAAGTTTCTGCATCTTTTAAAATCTACACCTCTTTTTATTTTTCTCACACATTTTTGTTTCACTAAAATGTATGCAAAAGTTTGCATACATTTTAGGTCTACTTTGTTTTAGAAAACTCACAATGGAGGATTCTAATGCCACATTTGAAACAGCAATTTTACAACCATCTATCTATGTATATAATAAAAGTGAATGTTTTTATGTGGAGGGAGGGAGG